TGGATATGCGGAATCAGGTATCCATCTGCTATCGTCTGCTTATTAAAAAGCTCGGTAATGTCCACATGGTCGTACCTCTGTTGAGTTCTTCTTTGGTACCATATGAAGTGGTGAAGACCATGAACTGTTTGACGGTCGTATTATTCCTAGATCCAACAATCTGTTGACCTCAGCTTTTGCTATTTGCATTTTATCTGGATCTAAAAGACGTGATTTTGCTGCGACAGGTGGACCTTTAGTTACAATATGGTGCGTTACGTTGTGTTTGAGAGAGGCTGTGGAGTAATCGCTCTGTGTCAGTTCAGGAAATTTCTTTAGCAAAATATCATACGTGGATAATTGATCTGATGTAGCTACCATCAAGCGGATACTCTCGACATCAGTGGAGATGCCTGAAATCGATAGTTTGCGACTGTTATTTATCAACCTACGGTGACCAGAGTCGACTAGAAATTCGCAGTGCTGAAGAAAATCCATTCCGATAATAGGAAAGGTTATATCTGCAATGACGAACTCCCACTCAAATGATATACTGCAACCAAAATCAAGTTTTTGTCTTCTAGTTCTAAAGGTTTTTATAGTAGAGTCGTTCGCAGCCCTAAGTACTAACGCAGAATTTGGCTGTAAACGTTCGCTGGGTGTTGGGGGAACCACACTAACTTCTGGGCCGGTATCTACCAGGAATTGTACCCCCGTTATTTCACCTGTCACCCTGAAGAGACGACTATGGGATGGGTGTTGGCCAGCGACCGCAATAGTCACTGACCGCCGGCCTTTTCGTCTCTCGACACCATAGGTAGCTGGAGAGCACATGGCTGTGTGCACCGTTTAGCGTGTACACCAAACTTTCGATGATACCAGCATGCAGTTTGTTGTAAGCTATATTTACGTACATTGCGTGAGCGACTACGCTGTCTTCTGTATGATGTAATAGGCTGTTTATTAAACCTCATAGTCATAAAATGCCCGGTCAGAACGTCTATTTTACGTTCTAGTGCTTCTATGCGTTCGTTTGACGTTTTGTCGACTACAGATGTTACTTGTGAAGACATCCGTTCATACATTCTGGCATCAATTTCTGCTAACTTGTCAATATCTATGTCTTTGTCTCCAATCGCTAATACTTGCTGAATGTTGTGGGGTAACCGCCTTAGCCACAATTGGTAGAAAAACCTGGTGTCTACCTTCCGATCTCCTAAAATGTTACACATATGGCTTTTGAGTTGGGAAGGTGTTCTATCACCTAAACCAACATTGCTGAGCAGCTGATCAATAGGTCTCTGATTTGATAATGAAGCAACCTTAATAACCTTCTGCTTTAAAACATCGTACGGAGTTTCTGGATCTGGATTTATAAGCGTTTCACATACTTGCTCTGCTACTTCGTCCGGCAAGATGTAGCTTGCATAGCCAATTTCGTAGTCTGAGAAGTGTCGTGGTTAGTTAGGAAGTAGTGTTCCAGGCGAGTGAACCACAAATATGGATCATTAGGTTTAAAAGGTGGTATGGATATGGTAACTGCAGCCACAGAACTTGCACTTGAAGTGCTGTTATCAGTATCAAATGACATTACAAAAGTGTAGAAAATAATATATGTAGGTGATAGCAAAATTACAAAAAATGAGCACAAGCAGAACAGAATATAGGTATGTTCAAAATGTCCAAAAATCGTCT